TTGGGCTTGGCGTCCAACCTTAATTTTCCTTATAGATCCAGTTTGTGTCCAACCCCATTGAAGTTGGGACTAATTGGGATACATAGAGCGGAACGTAGACAGGTTGGTCATTGAAGTAAAATGAAATTATTTTTCATATGTCATGTTTAAATTTTGTATTTGATTGTTTATTCATGGCTCAGTCGTCAAGATACTGCGTTGTCATTCCTGAAAACCTTAGATGATGTCAGTCTCTTTGTAGAATATTTAAAATTATGAATCAATTCCTCGGTTTGTTTTCATATATTATTCATTTTTATGGCTCAGTCTCTAGTTTGCTGAGCTGCTACGTCACGTCCTGAGATGGCGCTTGTTTCAATTAATAACGAAAGAAATTAAATGTTAAATTTTTTTTAAAGATTTTGTAAATATCTTTCTTATTGAACACTATATTTTTCCATATTTCGATAGATAAGCTATTGGCTCCTTGGATAATTCGAGTTAGTCATGCCTGAAAGCAGTGGGAAACCATAGTCTCAATGGCCCGATTTCTTAAACAGTGTAAACCTAGGTAACCATATTGTTAGTTAGCTAGACACACAAATAGATTTCATAAACGTATGTGGCGCGGTTCTGTGTATGGCTAGGATCCCCCCATGGGGGGATCCTAGCCATACACAGAACAGCGTCAGATGCGTTTATGAAATCCATTTGTGTGTGTCTAGCTAACTAACAATATGGTATCCTAGGTTTACACTGTTTAAGAAATCGGGCCAATGTCTCTTGTCGTCTAGCCCCTACAAATATAGTAAATCTTTATGAGTAATCTTTGACTTAACCCAAACATTGGTAAATTTACTTGAATAATGTCATAGATGGGTATTGTTGTTTGTTAAGGGCGCTTTACACTGTCAAACTGTTCGTCGAACGCGGTTCGACAGACAAGTGTTTGAAGTGATGTTCGAACGTGTGAACGGGGTATTTGGTTGTCGAACACGTTACGCGGTTCGACAGACAAGTGTTTGAAGTGATGTTCGAACGTGTGAACGGGGTATTTGGTTGTCGAACACGTTCCGTGTTCGACAACCAAACACCCCGTTCACACGTTCGAACATCATTTCAAACACTTGTCTGTCGAACCGCGTTCGACGAACCGTTTGACAGTGTAAACCCCCCTTTAGTCTTGTGAAGGTGGAAGGGAATAGCAGTAGTGTCTTTTTTTTTCACCTAGCTCCTTCCAACTCTGCAGATATAATGAGTGCATCATTGAATAAGTCAGTTTATGCATGCAACCAATTACACTCTGTGCTCAAACATGAGAATAGGCATCCTTATGTCTGTTCTGTAGCTATCCTTGTCAACTTAAATTGGACTGTCCAGGACATTTCGTTGTTAAGTCTTCCTTCAGTTACGGTTCTTTTTCTATGCCTACATCATCACCGAATATTCTCGGATATTCGATACTCATCTCTTATTATCCCTTCATATCTAACAAATCACAATACTCCCCATCCCTGTTTCTCTTTATGTTTTCTTCGTGGCCAGGCCCGATTAGGGAAGATTTTTTTTTTTCCGTCCTGGTGTCTCATTCATAAAAAAAAAAAATCATCTTCATAGCTTTCGGCTTCTTCCTTCAGGGATCGCCACTGCATATAAATGGTCTCCGTATTGCCCTGTCGCATCGTCCTCCTCCGTCACATCTCACACCTTTATGTCCTCCCTCACTACATCTATAAACCTCCTCTTTGTCCTACATCTCCGCCTCCATCTTTAGCATCCTTGTCCCAACATACCTCCCATCCTTCCTCAGCATAGGCATAAGCCATCTTAATTTCGTCTCTTTTACCATGTCCCATGGTAGCTTTGCACTCAATAAGTGCAAATAGGTTGTAGGGAATAAGTGCGTATGATATCAAAGCATCTCTTTTTTTTCAGTGTCAATTTCTATATAATATGCTGCAGCAATAGTTCTGGCTATATTTTTATCTTTCGAGATATAACGTTCCTCACCCTAGACATCATTACCTCGTATATAATTCTCGGTAAGCATTCTATTAATACTGTGTGGGGGGGGGGACTTGGAAGTACTAAGAGTCACCCTCATGTCTTTCTTATGAGAAGGGGGTTGGAAATTCAATTAACTCATCCCTTCGTTTTAAAATGTGATTATTATTGAGGAAGTCAGATATATGCAGAGAGTTTCTTCTTTCGTCCCTCTACATTTCTCCCTCCCTTTCCTTGCCTGAACTGCAATTTTATTATGGGAAGGAGACACTTATAACATTCTTTTACGTCTTACCTATTTTATTCCAGTTTTCTTACAATTTAGGTGTCTGTGCGCGCCATTATATAAGATTTTCATTATCCTCATCAAATTTCGGCGTCTGTCTCGCCAATTTAGAGGATGGAGTTCTTTTACAAGAAGGCAATGTCGTAGCCCTTAGCAGGAAAGGGAGTCAGTGACGTAAAACCGATCACACCACATCAGTCTCTTTCTTTTCCTCTCTCCATTCAATATTAATTTAGCCATATTTTACATAACTTCACCTTTTTTCTCTCCATCTTTTAATTTAAGTGCGATGGCATAAAATTGTTGGATTCGCTTCGCCATTTCTCCCTTCACTTTATCATTATTTAGGTGTCTTTGGCGCCATTTTATAGGATTCTCTTAAGCGCTTATTTCTCCATGTTATAATTTAAGTGTCTGTGCTACACATTATAGGATTCTGTTAACTTTTCCCTCTTCACTTTATTATGATTTAAGTGCTTTTGGCCACAGTTTGTAGGAAAATCGAATAGAAGAGAGAGCCAGGCATAAATCGCAGAGCTATATAGTAAAGTAGATGCCAAGGAAAGCTTGAATGAATTTAATAAAAAGAGCCAGACACTAGTCGCAGAGCTACGGAGTGAAGTAGCTGCCAAGAAAATCGAATTGAAGGAATTTAAGAAAAAGAGCCAGGCACAAATCACAGAGCTACAGAGTGAAGTAGCTGCCAAAGAAAGCGAATTGAATGAAGTTAAGAAAGAGAACGAGACACCTCGCAATGAGAAAGTACAGAAGAGGCATAATTGCATATTTGAAGAGACGAGATAGAAAAACCCTTTCACTGGTAAAATTGAAGAGGGATTGGCCGATTTAGTGATATAAGGCTCTAGGGATATGACCTATGTCCCAGAACATTTGCAAGCGATGGGGGTAAAGAACTTCCAAGTTTGCTATGCATCCACATATGCGGAACTCTCTGATATTGGGGTACGAGCCCGTTCTGCTAAACTCAGTCACGGTGGCTTGGTAGTTCTTCAAGGTGGTGGATTTTGGCGTTCCGACTGGATGGGAGACATGGCCGCGAATCAGATAACAGCCACCCTGATAACCATTTTGGAAAACAACCCTGAAGTTAAGGTAGCCGTTATGTCGGTGTTTCCCAGTCAGACCAATCCGGCTAAGGGCATGCATATAAACAAGGTCATTCGTTGTCGAATGGAATTAATGAAAATTAATGGATATAATGTGGAATACTTAGACAACGTTGTTGATAAATTCGAAGATGAAGATTTACTTTTGGAGAAGTTCCTGAATCATCAAGGCGCGAGGAAATTTTGCGAATTCCTAGTCAAAAGTATTCGTAACTTTTCCTTTCCGAAAAGAGATGAAGTGTTCTTGCCCAGTCAGAAGCAAAATGACAGTACAGTTTCCGATGAAAGTCAAGCCGTTGGCAAATATCTAAAGACCTTGATTAATCAAAATCACATTTTGAGAAATGACTCTTTTAGGTTACTAGAACTTAAGATTCAGTGGACTATAAAGAATAAGGAACTGAAAAAAACACAATTATAAGTTAATTTATGAGTATGTAGAATAAGTTAGAGGAAAATAGAGAATAAGATTTTTTTTAAGAAGGTATCAGGAATTAAAAAATGGATTTTTTTTTTTTTTTATTCTGCGCAACCTAGAGCAATTGGACGTGGCGACTGCTGCTTGTAGTGGGTACTACTTGTGATGGTTGCTACTTCTGCTGGTGGCCATTGCAATTAGTATTTACTACTTGGTAGTAGTTACTTCGGAAGATTGTGACAGGTTTTGCAAAGAATGATATGAATCTAGGTAATCAAATTAATTAGGTGAACTTAGGGGCGTTAAGAAGGCCATTCAACTTTAATCCCTCAGCTCTGACATCGCTATGTCCAACCCTTATTTGAATGAGGTCCCATTGGGACAGAAAACTGTTTTTACTGTATAAGCATAGAAAACCTAGCTGTATCTAATATTCCAAAGACTAAAATAATTCAGTATATTTTATTTTTGTGTGTGCAAAACCAGGATTAAATTTACATTTTTATTTTATTTTATATTAAATGTGTATGTAAGGGACATTTCACTTTTCATAGACCTACCAGACCGCACTAATACTAATAAGGAAATACATTCGTTAGTAGATATATAAATAATTATACATACGAAAAATACATATACGAACAAGTAGCTATGTATGAATTTGTAGAGATGTAAATAGCTATATGTAGTATATACAGGCATAGGTAAATACATTCATATATATATATATATATATATATATATATATATATATATATATATATATATATATATATATATATATATATATATATATATATATATATATATATACTTTTTCTCGTGTATTAACTTCTCATATGTATACTTATTCACATATTTATTAATGACTATATTTACATATTCGTGTATTTACTAACTAATACTTCATATATTTATTTATATCTTTACAAATTCATACATATCTACTTTTTCGCGTGTTTATGTATATTTGATCGTATATTTACTTATTCTTGTATTTACTCATATATCATATGATTATTCATATCTTTATCAATTAATACATATTTACTTTGTCGTGTATTTACGTTTCATATGTAGGCCTATACTTATTCATATATATATATATATATATATATATATATATATATATATATATATATATATATATATATATATTTATTTATATATGTAATATCTATATATA